GTTTTAGAAACCTTAGTGTTTATGCTTTTAGCACAAGGATACCATGAAATCTACAAGGAAACGCAATTAGTCTAATGTCCTTTCAAAACTGCAGACAAGGCATTTAAATGATTAAGAAATTTAGAAAAAGGGTGTTCGCGTTAACTCAGTTTCAAATCTGTACAGTTTGAGGTTTGAATTGTAGAATACACGAGAGCGACGGCGAACGAATGGTGCCAAAAGACGTTTAGTACTACAGAATCGTGAATCTAAGCATAATTCATAAAAGCAAAATCTAAAATTTGCTTAAGTTGATTAATTAAGTTAAGCATAAAATTTACTTACTCCAGTCATACTACATTATAGTAAAAAAATAAATTTTCTTCAGTTTAATAAAATAATGAATTTTCTTTAGTTAATAAAATCATGAAGTTTCTTTAGTTTAATAATATCATGAATTTCCTTCAGTTTAATAAAATCATAAATTTTCTTCAGTTTAATAAAATCATAAATTTTCTTCAGTTTAATAAAATCATAAATTTTCTTCAGTTCAATAAAATCACGAATTTATTTCAGTTTAATAAAATCATGAATTTACTTCACTTTAGAAAAATCATGAATTTACTTCAATACAGTAAAATCATAAATTTTCTTCAGTTTAATAAAGTCATGAATTTTCTTCAGTTTAATAAAATCATGAATTATTTTCAGTTTAATAAAATCATAAATTATTTTCAGTTTAATAAAATCATGAATTATTTTCAGTTTGATAAAATCATGAATTATCTTCAGTTTAATAATATTATGAATTATCTTCAGTTTGATAAAATCATGGATTTTCTTCAGAGTGCATGGCTAGCGACACCTACTATAATACTTATTAAAATGCAGTTGTAGGTACAGGGGGCAAATGGTTTCAATTTCTACTTCAATATTTCTAACAAAAAATATCAATGTCTATATGTTTTCGCCCCTAAATATTTGTCAGAGAGGCTGGCTCCACCACAGAAGTTAGAGTGAAGCTCAAATTCGATAAAATAATTCTTACCGATCGTTTCCAGTAAAATCAACGACAGACAGGTTATGGTAAATATCAGCTTCATTTCTCCAAGAGCATTTTTTTT